AAAGCCACAGTAATCACTTTTAGTAAATACTCTGTTCAATGTGACAAATATGTTTTAAATAATGTCAAATTAATTGTAACTTGGGAATATGAGAATCCAACGCTGTTTCTTGGGGGAGGATAAACCCGGAAAATTTAAAATCCGGATCTTAAAATGGGGGAGGTGTTATATCCCGATAAGAATAATGAATGTTAATTTTTGGGATCCATTTATGGACCAATACTATGAGTGCCCTCTCTGTTTGGCTATATCTTTGCCTTATAGAATCAACAGAGCACACTGTTTCACAGATTATAACTTTTTTTTATCATTATAAACATGTATTCCTGCGTATAGTTTCTGATATTCGATTCATGGTTTACTAATTATTTGCAATATTTTATCTGATAGACTGTTTCTCAGCATAAATATCTAAAATCGTAATTTAATCCCGCCTGACTTACTATAAACGGGAAGTTATACAAGTAGACAATCGGAGTAACATTGGGATGTTCTCCGTGTCCTCATTTGTAATCAGCCTGTCTATCTTACGCTAAAAGTAAGAAATTTTCGCCAATGACAATAAATCACGAATTTGTGTCGAATATGTAGATGATATTTTGTTGACATGAATTCTTTATAAGTGCAAACAAGATAAATACATCTGAAAACGATAAACAAAAATAATGAAAGCATGTAATTAATGCCTTACAATTTGTTAATTTTTCTATGAAGAGTAATAAAAATGGAATAAAACAAAATATGTTACTGCTAAACGACAATGTGAATAAAATTTCATGAATTTGTACTGTAATTTTACCATACCAACATGGTACGATAGAAGAAACTCAAAGAGTTTTAAAAACAACACAGAATTAAAGTATGTTACAAAAAAAGAACACCCTTAGAAATACTTTTGTTCGCTTAGAGAAAAAAATCCACACTATGTCATCACAGAATTATGTATACAATTGAGGTTGTGTTGATTGTGATGTTTTCTATATTAGAGGGTAATCTCGTGAAATCCTGACAAGAGACAAAGAACGTCTTAGGTTCACAAAAAAACAACATAATAACCCCATAGAACTAAGAAGACTGAGGATTGAATCGGCAATAGCAGTCAATGCAATTCTCAATAATATTCAAGTCGATCTTAAAAACTTCAAGATAATATATAAATGCTTTTACAACTATAAAGAAAATAGAGTCACTGAGTCTCTCTATATATTGCCTAATCCTGATGCCTTCAATAGAAAAAAATGCCTCACTACCCATCTAACTTGAACTATCCGTCCGAGCTACCATGTCTGGTTCTAGTCACATCTCACACCATTATCCTACAAAAACTCAGCTTTGTCCTTTTGAGCCACAAATGTCACATCTTTTCATCCTTTAAAATACATACGTACATACAAATATACAGACACTCCTCACGTAATTCGCCTCGACCGAAATGACATGAAAGTAACTTGATTAAACCTTTTTTATTGATCGCATCAATATATTCTTGCTTTGTGTTTTTGTACTACTTAAACTTGAGTTAATTTGTTTGTTTATTCCCTGTAGAATTAAACTACATTGAGTGATGAAGTGCCAGAAAGTTTAATTTTTCTACACATTGGGATATTACAGATATATCATGTTTATTATTCATCCACATTTCGTTTTTTCTTAATTTTTTACTACTTGTGTTTCAATAACTGATGAGTAGTGTAGTAAGTAACCTTGAGTTCGTTGGATTTTATTATGTTTTTATGATTCATAATCCTGATAAAGCAGCTCATGTTCGAAGTTTTGTTGTTTTGTTGATTCTTTTAATTCAGAAGATTATTACGCTTAATCCAAATCAGTGTTTATTATATGCATTTGGTTTGCAATGTTTTAAATATCTAGTCGTTGACAAACACACTATCAGCGAAAAGCTAGTAAAACTACATTTACTGTGGATTATTCTTCAATATTAATTCAATTTTCCTCCTGAAATTTTTGTATACTATTTGCTTACTTAGAATCTTAACATAAAACTCATTTGAATAAGGTGGGAAACCAGAGTCATACATACAATGTCTACTACAATCTCTTCGTAGTGCTGCTGTTTTGCACGCTCAGTTTAAAAGTCTTCGTTCCGTACTTATTAATGATAAATCACCACTGGGTTTTGATGCAGTTTTAGAGCAGAAAGTTAGACCAGAAATCTGTGTCTTGCGCAGGCCTACTGTTCCTAAGCAAGGTTATTCGCAAGCTCAGCGAGAAGCATTGTGTGTTTCGGACAGTTAGACTACATCATAAATATTTAATTGTAAAGAAATTCACTGTTGTTACAGAACATGAATTTTTAGAGTTAATTTATCCTTCTGAAAAATCTTTAGCACATTTCTCAGCTACTATGAATTAACAGTGATGTAATGTCCAGATTACTTGTGACAAAAAAGGGCAAACAAGACCAGAAATCATTGTGCCAAAATGTTTTACGCTATCTTATTTATTCTATGCGCACCCATGTTTGCCATTCGTTTCGCACATTTTTTGTCTATGCGAACGTACGAGTGTACTTATACATGCGTGTGCAAATCTTTTTTTTACCAAACGACCGGAAAAGAATAAAAACCACGAGGAACATAACGAATAGAATTTTTCATGGCACACACTTTCATTGCTATATATTGCGCCATATAGCCTCTTATATTGGGGAAAGACAATCCGATTATACTGAACATAGCAAGGTATCTGAAGAGTGTTTAACAACGACAAGCTCGTTGTGCCTACGCTCCTGGCTGACTGCGTTTTAGTGTCATCACTAGCGCACTAGGTGGGGGGTGAGTTGTAGGAGTAAATAAATACTCAAGATAAATAGTTCTGTAAGTTTTCGACACTGACTATTTTTCGTGGACACATCTAGCTGAAGGCGCTTGGTCACGAGTTCACATTAGATCACAAGTGGGTATACCGTGCTGTGCATCTCGTACATTCGTTAGACAACTTAGACCAAACACTTCGAGATATCAACAGCCCTCTAAATATATCTTCACATGTCTTCATTTCTGACTTCTGATTTGACTGGGTTGGCATACTTTGATTATAAACGTGTTATGTGTACTTGTGGTATATTTAGGTTAATGATCTATTTCGATGGTATTCACGAGGTAAATATGTTGATACAGCAAACTGCCCATTAATACGACTTCTACCGGTGAGCCGTCCTGATCTCATAAGTGAAACTTTTCTATACTTTGGGTGTATACTCAGTGCTATAAGAAAAGTTAGAAGTGCCAGTTTGAAACACAGATTCCATGTCTATTTTTCCAGGAGAGAAAACACGCACCGCTCCGATGGTTTATTGTATATAAATAATCGTGTTGCTACTCCTCATTCATTATGTAAACTCGTCCTTGAGGTTGTCCAAAGTATACACTAGTGTAATGATTTCTTTTGAATACGATTCTGCGGCTGGTTTTGACTCCGGAAATACAGTGTTTACGGTTATGTTCAGACGCTACTATCGCCACATCTAAACTGGTCAATGCTTCGACTCGTCCAAAAGAATGACACTTCCGAACAACGGCGACCAATTAAGTACGCGTCTCTGTAGGAAAAATATTGATTCGAACCTAGATTGAATTCATGCCCATCTAGATGATTTACCCACATAACTAACTCAAACATTTACAATCAACGTGTAATTCATTATTTGTAAAAACCACCTGTCCAGTATGATGTGCAGAAATCTTCCACTTTGTAGCCTATCCTGAAACTATAGATAACAGATATACGGAAAAATCACCTTTAAATTAGTCCGACGAATTATAAAAACATAATAAAGGAATCTGAAAATCCCACGAATCTCGTTAAACTTGGTCATTAGGATCAGGGACTAATGTGGAAGATGTTAATACCTATCAGAGAGAGTAAACTTATTACTATACACAGGTTGGCTAAAATACTGAACGTCCTGTCGAAGGAAGTGTCGTTTGTCTTCATAGACCTCAGTTTCAACATGAGATTAGACAACCACAGATGAATTCCAGTTGAGAACAGAAATATAGATACTAGTCTATCATCTTGCGCCAAGAAAAACTATATTTGAAAATGTACATGTAGTGTAAAGTATAAGTTCTTTTAGAATTAGTGACTGGCTGTACTGCAATCGATTAGCATTTTGTAGAGTTAAAATGATTTTAGCCATTGGACATCTGAATCTCAATTGCGCCTAATTTGGTGTTTTTCGTCTTTGGTTTGACCAATCTGTAATTAGACCTTTTAGATTTCAGCTTTGTTATGTATCATATCTATTACCTTAACTTACAGAAAGACGTTTCCTCATCGCTTTTCATCCTTCAGGTGGCTTTCAGGCTTTTTAGAATGGCTTTAACTGCTACGAAATTGGTTTCAATTACCAACTTATGAGTTTTCTACTCTTTCAGTTTACCAAATAAATTTACGGAATGCAAATTATGTGTATGATGGGACCTTGTAGGTACGGGTGAAAAATCAGTACACCCAGTGGTTTGTTCGATTTCTCTTTGAAATGTCTGGTTGTAATTTGTTTCTCGAGAAAGATCTTTGGAGTCACTAAATAAGATACCCTATGAACCGGAAAATTGATTTTAAGTGTCATTTCTGAAAACTGGTCCTCGCAAAATATACCCGGTCTTGTTATTGTCGTTGGTGGAGTGTGTTGTTTCATTATTGGGACAACAATAACACCGTATTTGTTGCTTTCATGAATAAATCCCCAGCTGTCGTATATCTGTAAGTCATTTGGCTTCTTTTAATAAGCAGCTGAAAATCGTTGAGGAAAATCTTGGAGGTGGTAACATTTTAGATGCCAGTAGAGATACTTAAAAAACTTAATTGCATTAACTATGAAACGGTAGAACAGTGTGAAAAACTGTTAGCATTATTTTAATATTGTTAACCTCTGTCAAGTGTCAGAAGCCAAAAGTTATACATAACTTTCCATCAGTAATGTTGATTAGGCCGTAATTTGGTGATCATTGACAAAGATCATACCTGTTGTGTTGTGCCAAGTGATTTTTTCGTATTCTATGTGGTGGATCCACTTCTTGACAACCGACTGGAACATGGGTATAGATTTATATTAAAAGTGAACTGTTCTTCAAAAACGGTGTGTGCCATCTATTAACTCCTTTATCCAACCTGAAATATGACTTCGTGATACTTTTATGGTACAAAGATAGTAACCAACATTTACGGACATTATTATTTGTACTTCAGTCGTCTCATGATAAGTGCGCGAGATAAACTAATATCACCCTACAAGCAAATGATCAAGTTACAACTAAGTAACTTAGTTTTACAATACTTTTCTTTCCCTTTCATTTCAACGTCTTTTTGTTTTTGTTTATTTTTTCTCTGTCTTTTTATGAAGTTTGTGAGTTTAAGCTCATCAACCTTTTAGCTCGAGGTCATACGTTGTTATGCCTATCGATTCACATGAAATGTGTTTCTCCACTAAACTATTCATTTTTTTCTTTTACTTTCTGTATGTACGAAGGATCAATGAGAATGTCGGTTGCACCAGTTCAACAGGGTCCATTTATGAAGGATCAGTTGGTTCAATTGCGGGCACAGATTAATGCTTTCAAGCTACTTTCCAAATCACAGCCAGTCCCTGAAACATTATTACTAGCGGCCGAAGGAAGACAGTTACTCGGTCATGCACCTATTGTTATGAGTGGACCACCTGCACCAAATGTCCCTGTACAACAATGGAATCAATCTTCTGTAAACTCCATGCAAAATTCGCCATTTGTCGGGTCTCCTCAGTCGTCTGTCGTTCAGAGTGAATTCCATCCGGCGAATCCTGCCCTAGCAATATCTCGAGTAAGACCTAATATCCAACCAAGTTTAGTGGCTGCACGTATAGGTCCCCCAGTAGGCTATCAATCATATACAACCTCATCTTCAAATGGAACCTTTCTGCCTGGGGGTACTGGCACATATGGAAGGAGTAGACTTACTCCTATTCAACGACCTCAGGGTTTGGATCCCGTAGAGCTACTAAAAGAGAGGGAACAGCGTATCCAGTCTCGCATTGCGCAGCGTATCAAAGAACTAAGTAGTCTTTCTGTATCTAGTACATCGGAACAAAGAGTATCATTATTGATTGAACTTCGTGCTTTGCGTCTACTGAATTTTCAGCGACAACTAAGGCAAGACATAGTGTCAGCTATGCGCCGAGACACGAGCCTTGAGACAGCTCTTAATGTCAAGGCGTACAGAAGGCCGAAAAAACAAACTCTTCGAGAGGCTCGGTTCACGGAAAAGTTGGAGAAACAAATGAAACATGAGCAAGAAAAAAGGCGTCGTCAAAAACATCAAGAATTTCTGAATGCTGTTCTTAGCCACGGAAAAGATTTCCGAGAGTTTCATCGTAATGTTAACAGCAGAATGGTGAAAATAAACAAAGCCGTTCTAAATTACAAAGCCAATGCTGAGCGTGACAAAAGAAAAGAACAAGAACGAATTGATCGTGAACGTATGCGACGTCTTATGGCTGAAGATGAGGAAGGTTATCGCTGTCTTATTGATGCGAAAAAAGACCAGAGACTTCATCACTTACTCACCCAAACAGATGAATTTATTAGTAATTTGACTAAACTTGTTCGTGAACATAAACGAGAGCAAAGTAAGCAGCGTTTTAGGGAACGGTCGGAAAGAAGAAAATTCGCACAGGAATCAGCTCTGCAAAATGCTGTTGTATTCTATCGAAAATTGGCTGATGATGTCATTAAAAACGGTGGACAACCCCGGCGTATTTTTCTACTCTTCCATCTACTGAGAAATTTCCTGAAGAACTTAATCAAGTGAATCGTGACTGGTTATGTGGCAAAATGTCGTCTTCTAACATCCAGTTACCTGACGTGCGTATACCTATGTATCAAACAACAACAAAAGAAATTTCTGAAGGTGATGCTGCACTTGAGCTAACCAAAAAACAAAGTCTGTGTATATGCGTTTCAGCCAAATCCTTGCAACCGTACTTTGGTACTTGTTTTTATGACGATAGTTATTTTCAGTGAACGATGGGTTATTTTGTCGACTTGATTGAAAACATTTGCACGGTTTGCGGCACATTCAAACACGTACGTAACGTATTTTTGTCAACAAATATAGCCCCAAATTACGACGTAAGGTGGAAAAATCAAAATTCCCAATAATTAACCGACATGAATGCGAAAAAGCGACGTTTCCTCTTTATGTATGCCTTAGTCCTCTTTGTTGGTTGATTGTCCTCTCAGGCTCTGCTCTCATAACGTCTGTTTTGCGTTGCTATGTGAATCCGGAACAGAAACCATAGATTCATATACCTTTATGCTGCATATATTAGTTTCTTTTGAGCGTGCTCCTTTTTTCTTCCTGCAACAATGCCTACATCCGTGTGTTTGTTATCCGCTTCTTCAATTGGGTCCATCTTGATGGTCTCATTCAAACCCAGAGCAGGGCTCATTATAATGCTCATTGTCGGTATACTATATTCCTTCCAAGATTTATCTGTTGTGAACTGATGTCTTGTGGTGAATTCCCAATCTATTGCAACGTGATCTCTTGTTAAGTAGCGCTCGTTGTCACGACAATTCTGACATCCGAGTTAGACCTGACATGTCTCTCAAAGACAGAATAAAAAGGAAGAAAGCACTAGCTGAACTTGAAACCCGTCGGCAAAACGACGAGGGAAATCTCCGGCTAGTGGGTTTTCGGATAGTCAGCTCTTGGAAGCGAATGCTACCTAGTACCGCGAAGACCAAATAACAGTCCACCATGGATAACTAAAACGGTCAGGAAACTTCTTAGAAAAAGGAAGAAGCACTGGAATATGTTCATCTCTACTGGCTTAGAACAATACAGATCCAGTTTTTGTAAGTTTGGGAATGCCTGTAAAGCGTTAATAAGCAAGACTAGACTATCATACGAAAAACAATTGGTTAGGGATTCTAGATATGGTCCGAAACGGTTATTCTCGTATATAAAAAGGCGAACTCAAAGGAACGATAGGATTCCATCACTTTTGACACAAGAAAATCCGTTAATCTTGGCAGAAAATGATGCCGAAAAGGATGAAGCTTTATCGGAATATTTTAGTAAAGTATTTTCTATTGGTAATGAGGAACGACCAACGAGTCATCGTGACCGTGACGACTCGCTGATGGATCCTGTAGTCATTGAGAAAGGTACTGTTTTAAGGCTACTTCAGCATCTCAAACCTGATAAGTCCAGCGGTCCTGATGATATTTATCCTAGGATTATGAAAGCCGTATCAGATGAAATTGCTGAACCATTAGCGATACTATTCGACATGTCTCTGAGACAGTCCAGACTTCCTAGAGACTGGAAAGACGCCATAATAAGTCCGGTGTATAAGGCTGGGAGTAGGGATTTAGTAACTATAGACCCGTTAGCTTAACTAGTGCAGTTGTAAAACTGATGGAGAAAATCATTCGGATAGCTGTTATAAACTATGTTGAAGGGCAAAATCTTTTCTCCAGGGCACAACATGGTTTTCGGAAAGGCCTATCTTGCTTGACAAATCTTCTCATTGCAAGAGACGATTGGGCTGCTGCAAAAGATCGGAATGTTCCTGTGGATGTGATTTTCACAGATCTAAGTAAGGCCTTTGATAAGGTTTCCCACTCTGGTCTTAAATTCAAACTGGAACGTTTTGGAATCCATTATACAGTCGTCGATTGGATAAGTAACTTTCTCCATGACAGGAGACAAAGGGTAAGGGTTGATAGGGCTCTCTCCTCGTGGTTACCTGTAAAAAGTGTGGTTCCCCTAGGTGCTCTCCACTTTTTACTTTATGTAAATGAATTGCCAACCGTAGCAAAATCATCCGTCCTACTCTTCGCTGATGACATAAAGATTTAGAGACCCATACATAATATGTTGGATAGAATGTTATTACAGGATAACCTTAGCTCATTGGTGGCATGGTTAGACAGGTGGTCACTAGAAGTGAATCCTAATAAGAGTGTAGTGATGCAGTTAAATAACTCTGACGAATTGTATCACTATACACTACGCTGATTCGTGCAACCCAAAGTAAGAAACTATAAAGATTTAAGAGTCATATTAAGCAATGATCTCAAAGCCACTAGTCACTGTAAGGCTGCTGCTGCAAAAGGCTATAGGGTATTATGGTCAATTCTTAGGTCTTTCCAGTATTTAGACGATGAAATGTTTAGATTACTATACCCGATTTATGTGGGACCACATTTAGAATATGGGATTCAAGCGGCGTGTCCTTGTTCCAAGTACGAAGCAGGTATTCTGAAAAGAGTCCGAAGACGAGTTATTAAGATGGTACAAGGTCTATCTGGCCTATCTTATGAAGACAGACTGAGACACCTTTACTTATTTCCGTTATCTTACCGTAGAATACGGGGCGATCTAATATTGGCTTATTGTATACTGAACGATGACCTTGGTATTAACATGTCTTATCTCTTGCTTTCGTCTAGGACCGATCATTTGAGAGGACATTCGACCCGGTCGTGGCTGCATCGACCACATATTCACCATTCGTCAGGCTCTAGAACATAGGCATACTTATCGGCGTCCGACATTGGTGGTCTTTCTTGACATAAAAGCATCACTTGACTAGGTAGACGCGAGATTCTGTAGCAGTGTCTGTCATTGAAAGGCGTACCTCAGAAGTACATAAACCTTGTGAAGGCTCTTTACTCGAACACTACTAGTCGAGTCAGAGCTTATGGCGAACTGTCATCTACTTTTGCAACCTCAAGTGGTGTCCATCAAGGCTGTCCACTTTCCCCATTTTTGTTTAACTTCATCATAGATCTACTGATGGAAATAACTTTCTCGTCGACTGAATTCTCGGGTATTGATCTCCTTCCAGGAGGTCCACTTATCGACTTAGAATACGCAGATGATATAGTCCTGTTTGGTGAAGACGCTGACAAAATGCAGAATCTTTTGGTAGCACTAAGCAACAATCCCAGAATGTTTGGAATGCGCTTCTCTCCCTCTAAATGCAAGTTGTTGCTTCGGGACTGGTCTGCGTCAACACCTGAACTAAGGATAGGGAGTGAAGTAGTCGAACGCGTTGACAACTTCACTTATCTTGGAAGTCTGATCAGCCCTAATGGGTTGGTGTCTGACGAAATCCAGCACGGATTGGAAAAGCTCGTTTGGCTTTTGCCAACTGACGTCACCTATGGCGAAT